AGAGAGAGAGAGAGAGAGAGAGAGAGAGAGAGAGCGCCACCTCATCGCTTTCAGGTGCACTTAGGGTCAGTCGCGATGAAAGCACTTGTGCTACATTCACACACTATATATGGCGGATCAAAGCAATATTACTTAAGGCATAATGGAAAGGAATTTACATTTAAACTAATAACCTTCTGAGAAAGTGCAAATAATGTCAATATGATCTTTTTTCATTATTATTTTTTGCAGTTAAGTGTTGTGTGCTTAATACTGTATGCTAATATATCTGCTTACATTTATTCTTTTTTTTAAAGTTTATGACAAATTATGGCATTAAGATACAAAAATGCATTTTTCCTTATCAATTCTTAAAAAAACATTCTAAACTTTAATAGGCTAGTTACTTTATTTACATTAATCATTTAACCAGTAGGCTACTTTTGTTCGAAGCAATTTACAAATAATTAAAAGGCAACAAGAAGCCACATTACCAAGTACAAAATCAGTAGTGGCAAACAGAGAAAAGATTAAAGAGAAAGGGTTTTTAATAAATTTTTATTTGATGTTTTTTTATTTTCTGTGGTGAAATGCACTGGTATTGGCAACACACACTGTGACCTCTCTACAAATCCACAAAAATGACATTTTTTGCTTCTAATTTGTTCCCCCATCCAACAATTTTCACAAAAATAGTAACTAAACATATTTCAAATGAAAGGCATAGAAATGAAACAAGAATGTTGCCAAAGGCTTGCCAAGACATTTCTACTGAACAAAACAGCAAAAACACATTAATCTACTTATAAATATCCAAAGTTGCAGAAACGGCTGTATAATTTGCAGTCCTTAAGTTATAGACGATTTCTGAATGACTGCAGATTGTGTACATTTTAAAAATTATTTGATGCTCAAAGCAAATGAACTTTTTTCATTGCCAATCATAAAGTACACTGTAGTAATGGTGTCAGCCAGTTTCTTAGGAGCAACACTGTGACAAAAAGTGCAATAAAATAATTCAGTGCTAAAGATGTCTCAAATTCAATACTGTATATAGCATATTTTGCCATTCGTTGTCAAGAAATGTGCAGAAAAATGTCTTCACATGGCTCTATCATTTGTCTACATACTATAAATAAAGAAATACCCAGCAGTGGCCAAAGTAGACTTGAAAATTTATGAAAATGGATGCAACCACAAGAAGCCAAGTATTAGTGTTTAACCTGGGAGAGCAAAGCTTTCTGGGAGCTCTCACATTGTCCAAAGCCAGCATGAGCTGCAAGCAGAGAAAGAGCCAAGCACAACACAGCACAGACAGCTTCTAAAGACGTGACCTGGAAAAGGCAGCAGGATAGAGGGAAGAAGAACTCTTCATTGGACCGAAAAATTGATCATAAATGAGATCTAGTTGGTTTTGTATCAGAATGACTTCAATGGAAGATGAAGGCATCTGTGTCTGTACATTTAAAAGTTTACTCCAAAAAGTGTTTTTTTTTCTCTCCATACAATTAAATTAAATGTGTTTTAGACCACACTGACATTTACTATATGGACAAAAACTTCTTCAAAATATCTTCATTTGTGTTCCACAGAAGAAAGAAGGTCATATAGGTTTGGAAACAATATAATGGTGAGTCATTGATGACAATTTTCATTTTTGGGTGAACTATCCCTTTAACAAAGGCTGAATCTGTTGCATCATGACATCTAGCCATTGTTTTCAAGCTTTTGAACTTCCACAAACACATATTACTCTTTCATTATCAAGCAGAATCAAGCTAAACACTAGCATTTCATAGGCTACATTCATACTTGAGGAAAAGGGACATGCTGGCGCTGCAGCATTGAGGAGCTTTCTGACCATCTTGTCATTATGGTAACCGGCTCAGTCTTGCACGGTCGGAGACTCTGTGCTTTGATAGGTGGGTGTCTGTCCTGAGCAAACAGGTGTTGTGACCCACCCCACACTTTCATGGTACAGAAGGCCTGCTCTCCAAAAATACCAGCCTCACTCTGCTCCTTCTTCCACAGCTGTTCCCCTTTAGGAAAGTGCTTATCCTCTTTATGGTTCGCAGTTATGCACACACACGCACACACGCTCAATATGATGAAGGATCTGTGAACCTGGAAATACGGGAAGCATGTGCTACACAGATAAATCATGTTGGATACAGGCCTGCTCATCAGGAGGCTTGGTTTGTTTTATTTTACATTAAAACATAGTCAAGGTTCTCCAAAGTCACTTTGTGTAGTTTGGATGCTTTTCATCTCAGCCCCACTCTTCAAAGCTCAGCTTTTTTTTTTTTCGAAGTTCCTCTAGTTCGAACAGGGTTTGATTTAATGGCATTTGGAAACCACATACTACGACATAGATTAAACTGTTTCTAGTAAATAACTACAAGCTCGAGTCTAAATCTATCCGTTTTGCGGAATGTTATGGAAGTAGCTCCAGAAAGCCCAATTAAAGGACCTATGCTTGGTTTCTCGAACAACATGTGCGTTGGCCATGACAAGGACAACAATGTAGTATTTTTTAAGAGCATTGTCTTGCCAAAAATACATTTAACCGCAATGCTTTTGCCAACAAGTCAATTTATGCATTATGATATCCTTCTCAATATAGTGCCCTTTTATGTTACACACCAGTGGGGTCAAACGTAGGCGTACTTGGATCTCTGCATCTTATTGACAATATTTTATAACAAATAAGGCTTGCAGAAAATAAACTGCACTATAAAGCTAGTGATGAACCAACAAACTACATTTCTCAGATGCAGAAGTATTTAGCTGTATTTAAAGCTGTAATAGTGTCCAACATATGGAGATTTATATGGCATGTTACTGATTACAGATTACATGATGAAAATGTAGTAACATAATCTAGGTTACTCATTTTAAGTAATGTAATCTGACTATTTTTAGATTCCTTTTTTATCTAACTTGTTTTGAACTTACCATTAAATGTACCATATTGATATAAAAAGGCAAAGAATATCCTATTTTTTTTTATATCAGCATCATAAAATGCACGAAACATTACATTACATCAGGGTTTCCCAAACTGGGATTAATGTAAGAACAGCTGTGGGGTTGTGAGTTGATAGAAAGCTAATAATGAAATCATAAAAATGTAAAATAAAAACACTAAAAATATAAATATTTTATTTGTTTACCTGCATGTTAATGTGACCATGTTAATGTAATCAGTTAAAAAACTGGTCCTTATGCAGTATCTTTAGATTAGATAGAAGTCTGCAATCATGAATTGTTACTATATTCTGGTGAAACTGTATGTAATGTACACATTAACAACTGTGTCTTTGCAGAAACGGTAACTGTATCTATTGGATTTTCAGAGGAATTGATTGAAATGTAGGTTCAATCCAAACACCATGAAAAAAAAATCTCCCGGCTCAGGAATGCTGGTCCACAAGAGGCTAGAGAATGAACTAAAATGGAAATACAGATGAGAATCTTTGGAATGGAAAAGGAAAAATATTTTAATTTGATTCTTATGTGAAGTTGGTGACACTTTACAATAAGGTTCATTTCATTAATATTAGCTAGTACATTAGGAGTCATGAAATAACAATTTTTAGAAATATACTATTGTTTATAATGCATTAATTGATTTA